CGTGAGGTCCGTTGGTTCGTTCCGTGGCTTAGTTGGTATAGCGTCTGCCACGGTATGCAAGAAGACGTCGGTTCGAATCCGACCGGATCGAAGGAATTTTTTCTGAGTGTTTTTTCTGATTTTATAATTCTTTTCTGTTTATTTTAGATTAAATACATTGTAAGATATTTAAATTATTATTAATATTAAAACAATCCCAATGTAACGTAATATACCATTGTCAAAATTAATTTAATGAAATCGTAATAGGGTCGCCACAGGACAGGCTCTGCCTAGTGTGGGACCAATGCAACCGTGCATAGTGCTCTTAGGCATGACATCAAGTTTGCAATGAATATATTTGTTAAAATAGAATGTCAATTTAGCATAAGCTTATTTGTTATATTATTATTATTTTGGAAATCTTGTCATACTGCTCTTTGTACTTGTGATGTCAAATATATATATATATATATATATTATTATCTCAAATATAAACAAATAAATAGAGTGTAAAAAGTTAAAGTAAGTGCGTACCTTGCACCCCGACGGAACGCATCGGCAGCAACGTGGCGGCGACAGGGGCCTTGGACGAGATGCGCTTGAGTTCGGCCTGCTCGGCCGCGCCCGTTGCGCCTGTCACGCGACCCAGCAACGCGTGCGACTTCTGGCACATCGACGCGTACTCCACCATTATCTTCACGATCACCTGTTGACAAATATACAATACCTGTTTAGCAGTGGCAATAACCTTTATCGATGTATAATATTATCTGAGGCCAGCGAAAAAAGTAAAAAGACCAGGAATTACTTTGACAAGATTCTAGAGATGTAAAACTCATAACCTAATTGTACAAATAATATAAGTAATGTAACTGTGATTAATGTGTACCGTTTTTATCCAGGTACCATATACAATACCGAACAATACAAAGAAAAATTAATTCGATCTGACTTCATTGCCCCGGCGGTTATAGTCCAGTCAGATCAATAACAATAAAGTATTAGGAGTATTAAAAAAAAATACACGTATACCACAATGGTAAAAACATCACAACATTCAATAAAATAATATATAATTTTGTTTTGTGGCACATTGTATTTACGTACATACATAACATTTATATACGTAATAAAACATCACGGGATCTGTAAATATCATGTGCCAGTATCTCAAATATTGCATATAGCGTCTTAACCTATAGCTGCAATCCACGTTGCATGATTTACATACCTGTGTCTCCGAGAAGTCTCTCTCGGCGTAAGGCTCTTCCTGACAGAGAACTCTCACAGCCAGTCCCGGTCCAGGGAACGGTTGTCGTTCTACTAAAGCTGCCGGTAGACCTAGCTCCAATCCTAAAGCGCGAACCTTAGAAAACATTCATATTATCATCAGTTTTCATAACTTTATTGGTATCAAAGTCGTTATAATAATGGCATAAAAATGTGATTGATACTGTGCCCTCAATAGAAAAAATGGCACAACTAACATTTACTTGGTACTTGGTGTAACGGGCTGGTGTCCGCAACTCGACGACAAGGCGCCTATTTTGCGTACATTTTTATCAAAATTGTTACCCACATACATATTCCCGATCAGGAGAAAAGTCAATTTAACTATTTTTTTTTGTAGAAATATGTCTCAATAGTTGTTGAATATACATCCAGCTCTAAGAGCATTTTGACTTGACTACAATAATCAATTTTTTTTTACTAGAATAAGTAATATTTGTCGTTTATTATGTGAAAAACACTATATATTATGATATATTCATAGTCAATATCGCAGTAATCACTGAACTCGAATACCAATTCTCGCACTCAAAACGGTTCGAACCGATTTGTATGATAATCGTATGAACTTGAAAAAATGTCATACGAGATCGTGTTTAGACAAGTCGAAAATTTTAAGC